TTTTGTCCCAAAACCGGATGTCGTTTAGCGATGGCATACTCTTTCTGACACAATTCATTCTCCAACAATTCACATTCATCACGACAAATTCTACGTAGATTTTCCGATTCTCTCGTGGGTGGATATTGACTCGATATTTCGCCAGAAAATACATCATCGTAAGTTATGGAAGATTTACGTTTTAAAAATGAACGACGATCCTTGAAATTCTTATCGAGAAAACGTGGACGCCGATAGCCTGTTATGTGATTTTCAGTGCTCGCACTAAAGTCGTGCGTCGTATTGAACTTTTTCGATTTGCGCTCCTTTTGTGTAGCGCGATTAGAGAAATAGAGTAAATTTGTACGTTCTGGTGTACGGCAGAGTGGAAGCGAGCTGAAGCATAGACTTGGTAGAGCATAAACGCGGCAATTGGCATTCATGTCCCTGAAATAGAAAACATAATCACGTTATTGTGTGTTACTGGATATTAAGGGAAATTGAATTAGAGAGTTTACTTACTTGGATTCTTTTATAACGCCATAGGCTGCCTTCAAACGCTCTTCCAGTTCGTTCAGCGAGAGATTTGGTGGTACGAAGACGCTTTGGTTTTTTAAGAATTTCTCACAAGTTGTGCCATTATATACTTGGCATATTCCGGATGGAATCTGAAATATGAAAAATTAGTTAATACTATTTATTTTTTTTTTTTTTAATGTACATATGCAAAAATTTGCGAGTAGGTACGCCGCTTTAAACAGTCAAAGGACTCTCTCAGTAGAACCACTAGATCTATCCGCCTCCCTTTTGTTTAATCTACTCTTGTGATTCGTCTTGTCTTGTGAATGCAAGTAGTGGAGAAGATTCAAACACCGGACCGCACGATAGTGACACAATTTTATCTGGCACGTTAAAAAGATCTCACCTTTGTAATAAATGTATCCAACAACCCTCTCCCTCGATTTGTAACATATGTATTTAAGCAAAATAAATTTCCTGGGCCTTGCATTTGAGAATGAGAATGACAACCTTCATCAGCTTTATTTTTTGAAATGCTATTCAACCACAACAACATCTCTACGTCTCGTGTGGAAACCCGACTTGATTTTCTCTTCTTTCTGTGCTTGCTTTTAAAAACTTGTTTTCTCCGTTTTTTATATTAAACATACTCTTTTTTCTCCGTTTTTTATAAAACATACTCTTTTTTTTCTCCCACCTGGCGGATCGACTAAATATTTGGTCTGCGCAATATCAAAATTATAAACAAGCAGTAAAAAAAAAAACAATTTTAATACAAGCTTTTATTAGCGGTTAGTGGAAAAAAAAATCTACCCCCTGCACCACCTAAGGACTAAATTTCTTTCTTTACATTCGGACATAAATACATATAGGACCATAAATACGAGGTTTTCAAATACCTCGACACCTGCATTCGCTTTCGTATTGTATTGTCCACGGTTTCTGAGTTAAGTTTGAAGTGTCAAGTCCCTAGCTCACTGGAAAGTTGGTTAAAAATTAATTGCAAGATTTGATTACACACAGGCGAAACTTAATAAAAGCTTGTAAAAAAATGGGTGCGCCTGGACTACTGTACTGCGGATGTAGAGCCACTCTCGATTCAGTTCTTGTTCGTTCTCAATCTTAGAATTAACCTTAAACCGTTGCGTAGCAAAATTCGATAGCACAGGCTTACAAGAAATTTATCGGAAACCGGAGTATGCGTTTCCAAAGGTTTTCGACGTGCTGAATCCGGTCGTAATTGCTCTGGTGGCTCAGGATTCCGAAATTTGATTTTGGCCTTTATTTGAGGTTATATTGCAGCTGGGGGTTTTACCCCCCCAAAAGAAAGATCATACAAAGCCGTTGAGTTTTTTCGCCGATATATTGAATTAAACAATTTCTAACTGCATAAACCTTTAATCGATATAAACCGTTAAGCATATTCATGTCACATTTTTTCGTGACATTTTTTAAGTGAACACTGCCGCTAAAGAAGTTTCATTTCAAAAAAAAGTCTCCTCGGTAGGCAATAACAAACCGCAGTATCTTTTGGAAATAGAAAAAGGTTTATAAACTGAAAAATGTATGAAAACGTCATTTTATAAAGCTCTTTAAACCTACTTTATTTTTTATGAATAAGTCCATAAGTTTCTAAGTAAAATTTTAAAGTGTTTCGAAATGCTTTTGTATTGTTTGAACACAATGAGTTCTCTGTGCTACAGCCCACGCTTTACTGATTCAACAAAGACATGAATTTGTGTACATATTTAGCTTATATATATGTACTTGTATACATAGGTACATACGTACATACATACATATGTAGGATTATATACTAAACACATTTCATTATTTGTAAATCTTTATTCACAACTGGTATACAATTTTTTTATTTATTTTTTTTTGTGCATCTGCATATTTTCTCACCTCGTCAGTGTGTGATTTTGTTGTAATTTCCTTGAGCGCAGCAAAACTTAAGCTGTAAGAGTAATAAAAAACAAATACATCGAAAAAATATTTGATCAAATTTTTCTTCACATTTCTTACGCGTTCTTAACGCATCGAATTTTAATATTTTCATGTAATTCATATTGGCCATTCACTAACCCATTTTCATATACATCTAAACCACAAACATTTAGCACCGAAATTAGTAAAACAAATGATATTCTTTTTGTAAACATTTTATTCGATTCACACAAAAGTCGCCCTAACGTAGCTCAGCGAAGTATTCTGGTTTTTCTTAGTATGATTGTCTTAGAATTATAATAAAGTTCTACCAGGTATTTTTAAAATTGCCCTGAAAGTGGTTCCCTCAAATCTCATATTTATGTAGGATTTTTATTTCTATTTGCAATTTTCAATTCATATTTCACTTAAAAAATTTTTTGTCCACAAAACAAGTTTGGGGCGACTGCATTCACTAAATGTGGGGAACAAAGCAGCAAATGTAATACATTTCACCCTTAAACTTATTACGGAAATGCATACATATGTACATATGACGGTTCTTTCAACCCTTATTGGAGTTGTTCGTTTGAGTGGCATTGCCATATTGAAGTTTAAGGACATCTAGTTATACCATTGTTATTGTTTTTTATTGACTTAACAAATTAATTTGTTTGAATGTATATTTTTTTTTTAGATGCATAATGCGAAAAAATAAAATTATTAATGATGTACATAAGTAACTACTATCATAATCAGGGAGCTAATTTTATTCCATTAGCCTTGTTTTCTGTCAACAGATGGCGTGGTTTCAATTAAAAATTACCACGATATAGACTTACTTGATTTCAAATATCGCTAGCTTAGAGTGAAATGTTGCTAAGTCAACTTTTTATGAACAATTCGTTTTTGGTGCAGGAAGCAAGGAAAATTGAAAATGCACCGTTTCTGAAAGGATCCAACTACTTACTTATTTTATTTCTACCCGTTTTATTCCGTGTTGTGCAAAATTGATAAGTCCAAAGTAGTCACAGAAAATTTGATAAGTCCAAAAAAATATGAATATTTTGTACGCTATCGAATTCGATTTGTATTGAGGGTTTTGTATGTATATTAGGCTGGGTCGATTTTGTATGGGGGAAAATAAAAGGCATTTGACCCTATTGTAATAGTAATATTATGATGTTTTAGGTCTAAGCCAATTGTTATTGGCCAAGAAACATTAATTTAAAACTTATCTTTAGCCCGCGCAATTGAATCAAAGTGTATGAATTTTGAAAATGAAACTTTGGCTTGTAATATCTATGGAATGCGTTAATTGTTATAAACAGGACGATATATCAAATTAAGGCTTATTTAGTACCTCACGTTCATTTATCATTTTTCAATAAGTCTACAAATTTTTAAGATATTAAAATAAAAAATAAGAAAACTATAACTTTCCCTTATGAATTTTCAATTCTTCATTACTTCAGCAAACAAGTGAAAAATACAAAAAAGCGAGACGAGATTTATGTATTTCAAACGTTTTAATGCTTTCGGATGTTTATATAATATTAAAATTACCATGGACTTGGTCACACCGATTTGGTCAGTTTTCAAGATCGTGGTGAATGAAGTCAAACATGTATTGTCAAAGATTAGGAATCGTTTGATAAGTTAATAGTAGTTGCAAGCTTAAATATAAGTATTTGCATACATTAACATAATACAATTAGGGCGAGAAACGCCCATTTTAAGTTAATTTTTCGTGGTTTCTAAATTTGCCGTTATATGAAAGTAGGGGACGTGCAAAAAGTGTTTACATAAATATTTTAGTTAACTCCATTATGTGAAAAAGTAACTGTACGTAGGTAAATGCGATAGTCTTTAACATATCCTGGAAAATCCTTTTGAGGTCTCTCCAATTGGACGACATTACTTTGCATTCGGCTTGAACGAAAGAAGTCACTCCCTTGCATACTTTTCTGTAATCCGGTTCTTTCATTTAAATGTTATTTATAAAATTTAAGAGAATTTTTTTTTAGAAAAAAACTGGAGATCCACTTAAGTTTTTCGATATAACTTTGGTAAACGTTACTCGATCGGCACGTAATAATTACGAGACTTGCTATTACTGATTTATGATAATAATATGATGAAAATCATTCAGATTATATACAAATTATTTTAAAATAAAAAAAAAAATGTTAACAAAATTTTTTTGTCATTTTCCTATATTTGCAATTTTTATATTGTATGCATAAACATAAGTAAACTAATTAGTGTTTCTAGAAGTTGTGCCTGTTCAGTGCTTCCATACTCATTTGTATAAACAACATTTTTCCACGATGATGAAAAATAATGGCTTTTCTATTCGAGCTTCCGAAATTGTTCCTAAATTTGCAAAAATTCGTAAACTATAGCTAAACTTAAAAAAATATTAGAATATTTGGAACCAGCGACCGTAATGCACGCCAGCAATATTAAGGCTGTTCCTTGCATCTTTTGACTATAGGCCAGTGCAATTATCAAGAGAACAATGAAAATTTTATTGAAAAGAGGTAACTTTGAGATTAACGATCAGCTAAAGGGCTGCGAGAAATGATATTTGACTTTATCTTTTGCGTTAACGGATTCATTATCTAATAATATGCCCCAAACCCTTTTTGCTGAACCCAAAATTTTTAACAAGAATTGGTCTTATTCGAAAACAGCTTTAACATTTGATGCAACAAAATCACTGTTCCCTTATGATATTATTA